CAGTTGAAATAAACTTAGCAAATTTTGTACTGGACTGAAGACGATGGGCTGTTTGAGAATTTTAACAATATTCATCTTAACTATCCCAATATAATCTCACGTTTGACAATGGGCACTCACTTAACCTAAACTAAGCTAACCAAATAAATATGGGCTTTGAGAATGAATAAATTGTAGTCAAATAAGAAAACTATTTTTCGATGGCCATTAAGATTGCCTAACCTAAGCTAATCAAAAAAAATACCGACTCTCAGTGTGATTTGCACTCAAAAAAAAATGTTGCAACTGATAAATGTCTTTTTTTCAGATTTCAATTATTTTTTCCCGTCAATCCCGTCAAGTTGATGCTAAGCAAAATTTACTTATAAACACATATGGTACATATGTATGCATAAAAACAGCTCATAAAATGCTATAAATACTTAGAAATCAGCTCTTAAAAAAGCTTTGAATAAAACTAATTAGGAGAAAGATTTGCTAGAACAATTGTCAAGGTTATCCGTCGCAAATATATGAATGTATGCATATATATTTTTGATTGCTGTGAATAAAACAATTTACGACCCACCTTAATGTGTGTATACAAATATGCATTCCGGCAAAGTTATGTTTTTGTTCGAAATATATTTAATCGCAAACCAGTCGCGCAAAAACAGTCCAAAGTTCAGTTCGCATGTGGCAAAATTAGCATAATGAAATATGTTTATATGTATGAATTAGTTGTATAGCTACAGCCAGAAGAGAAATGAATTTGAAAACTTGCACATTTGACTGTATGCACATACGCATATGTATATTCAAATATATACATACTTACATACATGGCGGTATGTGAAAACATGCGTTTATTGGCGCAAGCTAAAAGGTAAATATTCGCATTTTAAATAAAAACTTATGTACATACATATGTATGTAAGTACATACTTGAGTGCACAGAGAATACAAAAATAAATGTGTAGTAAAATATTTACAATTTGTTCGCTTGTATTTATTTGTAAGTGCATTTTGACCTTCGGACTTTGCTCAGTACAACTTTGATGCCATTAGATACATGCCTAAATGTTTATAACAAATTTATTCAAATGTATATATTATTAAGCAGCGTAATAAACAATATGGTAAGCTCGTAAAGGAAGTGACCGCTTGCCTTACTTAATGAGCGTACGGAAAACGTGACTAATTTTTTGAAATTGATTCAAATTTTTATATAAAAAGTGAATAATACAATACATGCTTAAATATCTACAAATTTTTTAGAAATTTTATTTTACTTTCTATATT